TCTCAAAACTAAAGGAAAAAGCAAGCCTATCTGTGGTACATGCCCAGAATCCTAGCATTTGGGAATCTGAAGCAGGAAGATCATAGTTTAAGGTCAGCCTGGGCTACATAGGAAGTTCTAGGCAGCCGAGGCTGTACAGTGTATCTCAAAGAGAAAAGAAAATGTCTTTTCTTTTTTCCCTGGCCATCACATGGCTCATCTTAGTGATAGTCACAGCCATCTGTCTATGTCTCCTCTGTGTCCCCTGGCTATAGGTAATCAGCAGCGCTGTCTGCAGGGAGGGACACTTAACAGCCAGCAGAGAAACAGCCTGATCCCTGACTGATGGAGGCTGGGCTGCTGGTATACCTGGCTCACCTAGGTGCTCACCTCCCGATGCCACACCTCTATCCACAGCAAGGGGGAAGTGATGCATGGATCCAAAGGCTGTAACATGTTCCAGGGCATTTCACACCTATGCACAAGTTAGGCTAGGACTACATGACAGGGTGACCTGACCTGGTCCCTCAAGGAAAAGAGAGAGGAAGGTGAAGGGAGGGAAGAAGACAGTTGCTTTGCCCAGATGTTAATTCAGGTCAGCACACATTGCTCTCCATGTTCCCAGTCTGTGTGGCTCAGTTCTACCTCTTCCCCACATTTGCTCCTTCATTCTTGCCTTACTGTGTACAAGTTATAGCAGGGTTAGCTTAACCGTTCTCCAAATCTATTCATTTTATTTTACATGTTATTATTGTTAGGCTTTTTGTTTGGGGTCTTTCTTATCTTTTTAATCACATTTATTTGTGTGTGTGGTACAAATGCATGTACCACAGCCAGCTCACATGGAGACAGAAAGGCAGCAACTAAGATCAGTTCTTCTACTATGTGGGGCCTGGAGATGGAACTCAGGTCAGCAGGCTAGATGGCCTTAGCCCAAGTGTTTTGTTTTTGTGGGTTTTGTTGTTTTGAAAAAGGGTCTCACTCTGTACCCCAAGCTAGGCTTGAACTCACAGCAATCCACCTGCCTCAGTATCCCATGCACTGGGGTTACAGGTGTGAGTCTCTACACCCAGCTCAATTCACTTTAGAAAAAATAAAGCCTTTATTTTAAATGGAAACTTTCTATCACTGTCCTTGGTATAAATCAAACAGCATTGCTGTGTGTAGAAAGAACATTAGCAATGCATAAAATGAGACAAAGGCTGTATGCTACTGGAACTCTAGCTGGGTACTATCCCTGCCTGCACCTCGAGGGTGCTGCTAAATGGTGGAAAAGGCCATGTTCTTACTGTTCACCTCACTGATAATAATGGTCCCTTGGCAGAACACATCAAATGTTGTGACATGAGCTGCCTCCCATACCTTTAGAAGAAGCACTTTAGTTTCTGTTGTGAAGACAGTTTCATTAGCCCAGGCTAGCTTTCACCTCCCTGTGTTAACCAAAGATGGCCTTGAATCTTTGATCCTCTTGACTCCACTTTCTGAGTGCTGGGATCACTCAGGTACCACACAATGGAATGTGGCATCGTGCCTGGTTTCAAGCAGGCACTTTCTATAGCAGGGTCCCTGCCCCCAAACATCTTCCTCATAGCACATCTGTGGATCTGTTCCCCTTACCTTGCACTGAGTTTCACCCCAACATACTCAAGTGGACAACTGGATGTTGAAGAGGGAGCTGTTTACCTGTAGGATGTCATGACCTTGGCTAAGAGAGAACTCAGACCACCTAGGCAGTGTCCTTTCCAGTTCTGGGGCCAGTGACTATTCCCATCCAGAATGGTCTCTAGTCCCTCTCCTAACACTGGCCTAGAAGATGGCCTAAAGCCTCAACATCTTCCTATAAGGACCAGCCCCATGGCAGGTCACAGGTTTGGTGCATCAAGATGGCTTAGCAAGTGAAGACATTGCCACAAAAGCCTGGTGACCTGATTTCAATCCACAGGTCCCAACATGGAAGGAGAGAACTTGACAGGTGCACATGCATAAACTCACACACGTGCACACACACGCATGCAGACATGCATGCTTGTGCATGTGTGTGTGCGTGTGTGTGTGTGCGTGTGTGTGTGTGTGTGTGTGTGTGCACATACACACAGAGAGAGGAAGAGGAGAACAAGATAAATGAAATAAAAATTTTTAAAAGAAAATTGTCTAAGCCTATAAGGGGTTTGAACCCAAGCACTCAGGCTCCAAGTCCACAGTCACAAATAGTGTAGGAGGTGAAAGCAATGAATGAGTCTCTATTGCATCTTGCTTTGTTAAATAATGTTTTATCATAATTTAGGGTAAATTAGAAATACTAAACTCTGATGTCAAATTAAAAAGCAAAGAAGTCCCAATTCAGTAGCAACTCAAAGATAAGTGATCCTAAGAGGTCAGGAAGGAGGAAGTACCTCTTCCTCTTGAGATAAGTTCCAGGGTATGGACAGAGTACAGCCTGTTAGCCAAACTTGGTTCACTGTCCCGCTTTGTACATAATGTTTTATTGGAAAACAGCCATGTTCATTTGTGTATGTGTTACCCAGAGCTGCCTTCTCACATGCCCTCAGATGGAGTAGCTGTGGCAGCAAGTGTATGGCCCACAGACTGAAGCCATTCATTATATCAATATCTGGCTCCAGGAAAACTGAAGATTCATAAGGAGGCAGTCTATGAGACTGGAAGGTGATGGGAGATGAATAAAGCACTGTTGGCCAATAGGAAAACAAGATAGGCGGGACTAGGAGACAAGGAGGAGAGAGGAAGTAGTAGGGAGGAGTTTCAAGATATAGGACCAACAGGGTAGAACTCCGGACCCTCTCTCTGGTATAAGACATGTGGAAACACTTAGATTAATGGAAATGGGTTAATATTTAAGCAGAGCTAGCTGATACAAAACTAGTAACTGGCCAACAGCTTTATATCAAATACAATGTCTCTGTGTGTTATTTGGGGCTGGCACAGGTGTGGGACCAGGCCAGCAAAAAATCTACTCTGAACATGAGGGTGGGGTTGGGCTAGCTCTTCCTTCTCAAGCACCTAAGCCTCCCTGTTCCCAGTTGTCTTCCATGTCACCCCTTGTATGGGGTCAGCCATTCTCTCTCATCAACATCTTCCAGAGCTTCCGGATGATCCTCTTGACATGGAAAGGCTTCCTCTACCAGAGTGAGTCTAGACCCAACATTTTTCCCTTGATGTCCTCTGCAGGCTCCCCCTGGCTCAGAGGAAGCCACAGCCTTACTCGGGTCCTTCTAGGACTTGATGCTAGCCTGTTCTTCCTCCAGCGTCATCCCTTGCATCTTCTGGAATTCTTTCTTTTTTGCCCCTTATGGCCTGATTGACCCTCTATCCATTTGTGTGTGTGTATGTGCAGGCACAGAGAGGAAACTGGGTGTCCTGCTCTATCACTGTCCACCTCATTCCCCTGACACAGTCTCTCATTGAACTCAGCCAGAAAGCACCACAGATCCTCCTGTCTCTGTCCCCTCAGCACAGGGTTACAGCAGGGAGGGATTTGTATGGCATGGGATGTTCAGGGTAGGCTTTGATGTTAAGTGATATTTGAGGCAAGTTTTAAAGGACATTTCAAGAGGTTGACCAAGAGAATACCTGGAGAGGAATACTCCAGGCAGAGGACAGAACACGCACAGGTCCTGAGGCAGGTGGTAAGCAGGTGTGTCTGGGGGACACTGGGGACATGGGAGGGGCTGCAGTTGACAACAGCAGGGAATGAGGCCAGAGAGACGATGAGGGCCAGAATGTGGCAGGCCTGTGACATGGGGATTTTTTTGAGTGACATGGGGAGCTAGTGCAGTGTCAAAGCAGTGGAGGGCCTAGATCATTCCCAAGTGAGCACAAAACCCAATACCAATGGCTTCCCTTTTGCAACATTCTGTTCAATTCAACCACATATAGAGGTCAGAGGTGGATATCAGTGTCCCCAATCACACCACACCTTAACTTTTGAGGCAGGGTCTCTCACTGAACCCAGAGCTAAGCAATTTGGCCACATTGGCTGTCCAGTGATCCCATCTCTGCTTTCCTAGTGTTAGGGTCACAGGCACACACTGCTGAGTCTGCTGAGACTGAACTCAGACCCTTACTTACACAGCAAATGCTTTGCCAACTGAGCCATCCTCCCAGCCCCTCAGTCTGATTTTGCTGTAATCACCTTTATCTGTCTCTTGCATCCATGCAGGCCCCCACTTCTGACTCATTCCCTGCTGCTTACCTCATTACCACTTGCAATTATTTTCTAGAAACTCATTTTGTCTGCACACCTGGGCCAAATGCATTCAGATGTGGGTGGGTGTAAATTGCTCCAGCAACTCCCACCCAGCTCTGTCTGCAACCCAATACACCACCAGCAAAGAGGTACACAACAAAAGAGCCACTATGCATACAAATTCAGGGGTCATGCCTCGGCTTCCCCACACCCTGCAACAAGACTGACACCCCTAAATCCCTCTGTGTAAATCCCATACCCACCACTGCTCCCCAAACTGACTGTGAGCCACCTGCAGATAGCAGCATGTTTGGAAATGTTCCCCACTTCATGCCCTAATGCCCAGTGTGGCCTCCAGCAGCCAGACTGCAGCCTGCATTTGTGTTGCGCAGGGGAAATCAAGTCCATGCGGGAAGGATACCCTAGAGGTATAAATTGACATGTGCCCCAATTAGAGTAAAGAGAGGGTGTGCTGTCTTGGAAGAAGAGGGCGTAGTGAACAAAAGTTGGCAAACCTCATGCTACAGAAGGCCTTTGAAAGCTAAAAATTGTCTTTTCAAAAGTACTGCTGTGGCAGGCAGGATGTGCTGGGACCCCAGGGACAATGCTGTTCCAGTCAAACTCAGCTACATGGAAGGGTACAGGAGCCATAGCAGTGTCCTGGGTGCTGTGTCAACAGCCAGGCCAAACTCCAATTCCATCAATGACTAAGGACGCCACAACCACATGGAGCGCCCGCAGGCTGAAGCCCACAAGAGAGATGGGTCTCTTTCTGCACCTTGGGTGGACAGTACACCTAGATGCAGCACCTGCTTACCTTAGCCAGTTGTGTCTGCAGCTTATTCTTCACATCTGTCTCCTCCGAGATGCGAGCATTGAAGGCCAGGTTGGTGTTAGTGAATTGCCTCCACATCTGGTCCGACAAGGTCTCGAACAGGTGCTCTGCCTCCTCTCGAAGTCGGATGGAGTTGGCCCGCATGTTCTGAGAGTGTCTGATGTTGTCATTGCTGAACTTGGCCCAAGTTTCAGGAACAGTGACCCTGCAGAAGTGCAAAGGCAAGCTGCAGGCTGCTGGCAGGCCTTGGAGCTCTCTGCATCCAGGACATCCTCAATCTAGGTGTGTGGTTCTATCATGTTCCCGTGTACTGAGGGTAAATCTGACCTTCACTCTTGCCCTTCCAGGAGCTTCCACACACAGCCTCAATGACCACAAATTTCCCTGAGGCCAGAGGAACATGTCTATTCCCTGTTGAGCTGCCCCAATCCATCCCTCATTTTACTGGGGCACCAAATAAAGCCAGGAGGGGCTCCAACATTCTCAATAAGGCACTCAAGAGTGGGTAGGGCAGGTGGTTGCTTGCTCTCCAACCTCCACCAAAGACATAACCAATCCAAGAAGCAGGCGTAGGGCCCAGACTAGCTCAAGTGCCCCCAACTCAATGACAGGCATCCGCTATGTAACTACGCATTCACTCCACACATGTGGGGTTTAGTTGGTGGGTTTTTTATTCTGTTTGTGTTGCTTTTTGTTGTTTGTGTTTTGTAGTGCCAGGACAGAGCCCAGCACATCACACATGCTAGGCAAGCAGTCTGCTGCTGAGCCACTCCTCTTGTCTAAGCATTGTGTTTTCAAAGTCCACCATGGGCCAGTGATGGAGCTGTAAGAATGACAGCATCCAGGTCCCTGGGTCAACTCCTATGTAGAGGATGAAAAGGACAGTAAACAAAGTGGGCGCTCACACCCTGGGAGGAAGTTAGAAGCAGGTGACGGTGAGACAGTCAGGTCTGCATTTCTGAATTCAACTAGATATGAAAACATTGCATGGAAACTTCCAGAAATAAACAAGTTATAAGCTTTATTTTATTTATTAACACTTTTAAATTACATTACATTTACTTACTTATTTATTTATTTATATTTCTTTATCTAGTGTGGGTATGTGCCTGTGGAATCAGGGTATAGCCTACAGAAACCAATTCTCTCCTTCCACAGTGTGGATCCCGGAGATCAAACTCGGGTCACCAAGCTTGCTGGCAGGAGTCTCACCCTTGAGCCACCTCAATGGCCCATATTCATAAGCTTTAAGTGACTCACTGTAACATATTGTTGTGATTATTCTATCTTATTAGTTAATTATTGTTAATCTTTGCTTTTGCCTCATTTACAAGCCAATCCTTATTGTAAGTATGTATGAATGTGTTGAAAAACAGCTGTCAGCTGTCTAGCAAGGTGTAGTAGCGCACAACTTTAATCCCAGTACTATTGAGGCAGTCAGGCAGATCTCTAAGTTTGAGGCCAGCCTGGTTTACAGAGTGAGCTCCAGGATAGCCAGGGCTACACAGGGAAAACCGTGTCACGAATGCCCTGGAATCCCAGGAGGCTTAGGTGGGGAATTGTCTCAAAAAGACAATCAAAGACCAAACAAGAGCCTATTATATGCTGCACCTGGTCTCCCTATGTTTCCATGCATGAGGAGGGTGTGTGAGAAAATAACCTGTGACTCTTTACAGGCTGGACTGGGAGACCATCTCACAAACCAACCAAAGAACAAAGCTTCCCATGAGTGTATACTAAAATGCATTCCTGCCTAGAAGGGAAGTCCCTAGAAAGTGGCACAACCAGAAATCCCAAAAAGGTATTTTACCATTTTGCTAAACCCCGGAAAATGATGCTCAACTTGGTCCACATAGCCTATTCAGGGGCTTCTTCCCTTCATCTCTCTCCTCTCTTCCTTCCCTCCCTTCCTTTTATCCCTCTTTTTTTTATTCCATAAATACCTTAGTATCTCAATAATGCCCAACACAATTCTATCTGCTAGAGACGAAAAATACTGTGGGGTAGAACCAAGACAGACCCACCCTCTTGCTTGTACCCAGAGCATCTCACCTCACCCTCTTCTCCTCACACCCCAGCCTGTGGATAAGGAAAGCATGTTTTACCCTATCTGACCCTCCATGATATGGTGGCATGCCCTCCAGAGTGCCACAAATACAATAGGCACCTGCCCTACTCACAGCTGCCAGGATGAAAAAAACATTATGCTGCATAGCTCCAACTAACCAGTGCCAGCTGTTCCCATCAAACATGAGGTTCTGTGTTCCCCACATCCTGTATCCATCTTTTCTTCCTCACAGACACTCAGGGGAGTAGACACTATTTTCCACCATGGTGTTGATACAGAAATGTGTTCCAAAGAGTTTAACCTGCCTTAACTTAGCCACAGTGTGCACATGGAGGCTGGAACACAGTAATTGCAGCCAGTTTGGCCACAGAATTGACACACTCGTGTGTGTGTGTGTGTGTGTGTGTGTGTGAGAGAGAGAGAGAGAGAGAGAGAGAGAGAGAGACAGAGAGAGAGAGAGAGAGAGAGAGCATGTGTTAGTGCTGAGAACTAAAGTTAAGCTTCATATCTCCTAGGTAAGTTCTGAGACTTATTTATAGCCTCTCTGCCAAGACCTACTCTCTCCCACAAATCCCAGTGCTGGTGGGCACTACTGTGTTGGGAGCTGTGCCACCTAGTTTCAGGCCAATATACCATTGCTTTCCTAATGGGCCTCCAGATGGGGCAAAAGCCCATGGACATAGTCTCACTCAGCAAGGACCAGTGGACTTTGGGACAGCGCATAATACTGCTGGGACCTTGCAGCCTGCATGTTCTCTTTTCTCTTATAACATTGATGATTCTCTTGGTGGCTTTAGTGTCACTTTGTCAACCCTGCATGGGACAGATGTGATCTTTCTTGGAAACCCCATTTTTTCTCTAATATTTTGCCCTAAATTCTTCTCAGGTCCCTTGTCTGGGGGGGTGGGTGCCAGCTGTCACTCCAGCTCCTGGGAGGTGTTCTAACCCAGTGCTGACAGGATCAGATCACTCCTATTTCTGTAAATGTTTTTAATCTGATTATTGTTCTTGAAAATGTGTGCCTATGTTAATCTCCTTTAGTTTTGTAAAGAAAGGATGTATCTTGCTCAGTATTTAACCAAGCTAGCAAAATGATAAGTGTTGTTTTGAGTTTGAAGATGATTTGATGTTAAAAGTTGAGAAAAAACATATTTGACATATTTGTTTTTGCCAGAGGTTAACATTGGAGGATGGGAAAAACTTGTTTGTTAATACAGAAAAACATGCTTGTTTTTAATGTATAAATAAAGACAGCTGGAGCTATTCTGGGCCAGCTACTTGTGTGAAATTCATCTGGTGCTGCCCCTTCCCCGTCTCAGGACCTGAACACAGGCTGTGTCAGGTCTATAGCACTGCTGAATGGACTTCCTGCTCTCATTGGTGACAGCCATTATGTTTTACGCTTTGGTGTAACTACCAATGAGTATTCCCAGCATGCCCTAGCACTGGGACAGTGGCCCTGGGACTCTCAGCTAAGCCAATCACATGAGTTGAATCTTGAGAAGGGTCAAAAAAAGGATGGAAAGATGGCAACATGGACTTGTATCCATTGCCTTGCACACAGCAGTTGGGTGCAGAGCCAGAGCTGCAGGGCAAGTGCACAGACCCCCTGGACACAGACCAGTAGCTAGCTCCCACTACCTGCCTTCCTCTTACTGCCAGAACCTTCCCCTGCAGCCTCTGCTTGACTCTTGCCCTTGCAACAGAGGATTCCATGCAAATGCCACCTGACTGGCACACACCATCCTTTATGCCCCTTGCCCTTTACTCCCATTGGACCAGGACAAAGACAACGAGAGAGAGCTGGGCACTTACGTTCCATCAAACTTCTCCATGCCATGGAAGAAGGCGATGCCATCGGATGTGTTCCTTAGATTAAAGCACCTCTCGTCAATACACTGGGCTGAGCTCTTGTCCTCAACGTCCCGCTCCAGGGCATGCTGAGCATCTCGGTTATCTCTGTAGGGAGGAGCATTGTCTGATCACCTGGCATCCTCCACCCATGGTCATCATCACGCATCAGGTGGAGGCAAAGCCCAAGCTGCAAGCCTGGTCCCCAGACTCCCAGGACAGTGCTCTACACACCCAGAGGCTGCTCAGCTCTATTTCCACTTGGTGTCAACACCTCCTACCCAGAGCCACTAGGGCTCACACCAGGACAAACACACCTGTTGTCTGTAAAACAGAGATGTGCCAGGCCAACAAGATGGCGCAGGAGGTAAAGGAGCTTTGCCACTCAAGCATGATGGCCTGAGTTTGACCCTGAAGTCACAATGGAAGTAGAGAACTGCTTCCTGAAAGTTTCCCTCTGATGTCCAAATGACATGCAAGTATGCACATACACACACACACATGCACACACAAAATACAAACTGGAAAGAAATAGGATGGGCCAGCACTTACTATAAAAGGCTAATAGTCACTACATAAGGCTGAGTGATACACCATCTAAGTTGCATCCATCAACCAGTCACAGAGAATATGGAGCTTCCTGGCATGGCTTTGTTTTGGCAGTAAAAACACTCATCAGAGAACATGAGTTCAATTCCCAGCACCCACTTGGCAGCTCACAATCATCTGCAGCTGCAGTTCCATGGGATCTTATGCCTTCTTCTGCCCTCTGCACACACCAGCCACACACCTGGTACACATATGTACATTCGGACAGACACTCACATACACAAAATAAAAGTAAGTCTTTAAAAAAAAAATCCCTGTATTTATAAGAACAGATGGCAGAGCAATCTAGAAGACACCAAACCATCTTTAGACAAAGTCTGGATGGAGTCACTTCCCTCACAAATGGATCACTGTGGCATAGAAGACAGCTCTGAAAACAAGGGTTAAAGTGTAGAAAAGGCCACTCACTGCCTTCAAGTAGCTCAAATTTATATAACTAAATACAGCAAAACGAAACATGATGAACATGGTAAGAAAGCTTTAAAAGGACAGGATGTAACACAGAGGAGGGGGCCATTAAAGCAGGTAGAGAAGACAGATATGGAGGCCTTTCCATGTTCGAGCTAGGTGCTTGTCATATAAAGTAGAAATAGTTACTATGGACAAAGATATAATTTCAAGCTAACACAAAATCAGAAAAGGTAGAAATAACGAGGTTTTGGGGAACCAAGGACCAGCTCAGAGTCAGGGTTTGGGTGGAGTGAGGGTGTGGATGGAGGGGGAGTTGGGTGTAGTCAAAGACAAGATCAGGTGAAGAGGAGAGAAGGGGTGAGACAGGAACTTGAGCCTAGACTGCTGGAATCAGAGCTGAGACAATGGCCAAGGTCGCAGTTTCCAGGCTCCAAGCTGCTGGCAACCCAGATTCACAATTTCCATCAAATACTAAGGACCCGCTCCTTTAATTATCATTTTCCACCTATTCAAATGGCATCTAAAGTAAGAATGAATGCATTTTGAAAGGGGAATTCAGATTCTGGTCTTTAAAAATTCTTGGCTATTAATAGAAGGTTGTTTCAGACCTAAATATGCCAAGAAGACACTAATTGCTAGCTCGTATCTGAGAAGCCTGTAAGTCTGAACCTCTCTCCCTGTTCTCTGTTGGGAGAAGGTGAGTTCCTGCTAACAACACACAGGCATGGTCAGAACATGTCACTTGGTAAGGCAATGACTTCACTTAAGGTTTATCCAGAGACCAGCTATGATGAAGGGCTCCCCTTTAGCCCCGGCTCTCCTGCATCCCTTTCTCCCCCCCCTCCCCGTGTCTCTCATCTTAACCACTGTCTCTTCTCCTTCTAGAACCTTCTGTGTCTCCTCTCTCCTTGGTTTCCCTCCTTTCTTATCCCCTCCTTCTCTCTTCTCCCCCTCCCCTGTGGATATGGTTGCTGTTGGAGGGGAGGTCATCTAATGACTCAAGGGAAAAGAAATGGAAGTCCCAATAAGTGGAACACAGAAAGTCCTGTCAGTCAGGACACCCCACCAGGACCCACCCTGGGGCCTTCCACATTGAGCCAGGATAACCAAGGAGGGCTCTGTCTTAGCTGATAAACTGGGGTGTAACAAAAGCCAGACCGTAAGAGCGTCAGGGTCAGTGGAACCTCAGAGTGCAGCTGGCACCACTGCCTGGTGCTGATGAGGTCTGAGGAGGAGGGAGAGGCCTGTTCCATTTTTGACATACCATCACCCTGCTGTCAGCCCACCAGGAAGGGCCCAAGCTTGGCTCCTACCCAGTCAAGAGGAACCTTTTATATTCTTTTGGGGTGCCCATGCCATGAGAACACCCCCCCTTCCTGGACGCAAATCTCACTCCTGGTCCAGAACATCACAAGCCCCGACCTGTGGCTACCTGAGCAGGTCTGGTCAGCCGTGCAGCCTCCCAACAAGCTAGGTCTGAGCATTCTCCCATTAGAGGCCACCCTGCCAGCCATATCAAAAAGGGCAGCCCCGTCTGTGCCCTCTGTAACAAGAACCAGCAAAGAAGAAAAACCAGCAGAACGGCGTGCCCCAGGACAAGGAAGGGTAAATGCCAAGCTCCAAGGGGCCCAGGGGCTTAGCTAGGGGCCCCAAGCCAGGTAAAAGCACAGACCTCCCTTTAATTACCTGAGGAGCACCTGGCTTGGCATGAAACCTGTTTACATCATGATCTAAGAACAAAAGCTGGTGCCTTTTGAAGACTCCCTGCTCAAGCGTCCATGAGCCCCCTTCCGGAGATGTTCCAGTCCCTTCCTTTATTGCCTAATGTCACCACATGCTGCTCTTTCCAAGTTCAGACCTGGCCTGGGAGAGCTATAGGTACACTGGGTGTAGGGAGGCTGATGCCTTCTCTGTCAGGGCCAACAGCAGCTGAGGATGAGCTAGCTCCAGAGAGCAGCTGAGTACCTCTGATGGACAAGCCCATTAACAGAAGCATTGACAAATCAAGACACACACACACACACACACACACACACACACACACACACACACACACACACACACACACCCTTACCACCCCATAGAGCTGGTGTTAAACATCTAGCAGCACACCATGAACCCCAAGAGCTACTCAGGAATAAGTGGCTATCTTCCATCTGGCTGTCTTCCAGAAACCTAGAGAACCCACAAGCAATTCCAAAGGGGAAAGGCTTCCTTACCGCATCTGGAAATCGATTCGTTTAGCTAGTTTTCTCATCTGATCTTGGCAACATTTTAGTAAATCCACTTCCTAAATTGAAAAAAAAAAAAAAAAGTCAGAAAGAACATGTCAGGCTGGAAATTCACAGGTCAGAGCCCTCATGCAGGACAGCTATGCCAGGAAATACCAGAGTGGGAACCCCCAGACCACTGAAGCTAAGAGTGGATGCCAGAGGCCCTGAATTCAAGATCCTCCTGCCTCAATCTTTCTAGCGCTGGGGTTGTAGGCATGAGCCACCATGATTAGGCTTCCTCTCTCCTCTCTCTCTCTCTCTCTCTCTCTCTTTCTCTCTCTCTCTCTCTCTCTCTCTCTTCTGCTTTCCTCTCTTCCCTCCTCACCACTCTCTTCCCCCTTCTCGCTCCTTCCCCGTTCTCTCCCATTTCTTTCCTCATCCAGCCTTTCTTTCCTTTCTTCCCCCTCCATTCCCTCTCTTCCTCCTACGCCACTTTCTTATGAGCTAGGCATCTGAGCCATCTCATCCCCTCTTCTTATTTTGAACAAGAGCTCACTGATTTGCCTAGACTTGCCTTGAACCTATTTTATAGCCCATGAAGGTCTTGGCTTAGTGATCCCCCAGCCTCAATCCCCTGAGTAGCTGGTACTATAGGCAAGTGACACTGTACCTGGCTTCTTTTCTTTTCATGTACTTAAAAATTAAAATAAAATTTAACACACAACTATGTGTAGAGTGTTCACAGATTATTTTATCATTAAGTTAAACCATGCACCTAAAATGATATACACATACAGTGCATAGTATGTGCTTAATAAACACTATCTTTAGGATCAGGAGTAGGGTTTGTCTAGCATACATGAAGCCTTCAGTTAGATTCCCAGCACTATATAAACTGGATGTGATGGTGCATGTCTGTAATTCCAGCACTCAGAAAGTAGAAGCAGGGTTCAAGGTTATTTCTCAGCTACTTAGTGAATTTGAAGATAGCCTGGGATATATGAGATCCTGCATAAATGAGCAAAAATAAATATACATGAACTTTTACTTTTATTGTCCTGGTGCCATCTATATGGTCATTTTGAAAATAGTAAGACTGAGATTAAATAATCCCATTCTATTTCTACTTCTCCCCATTCCTACATGAGGAAATCAGTGTCCCACTAGTTTTCTCTGAGCCCTAACTCCATGGACATCACATGTGACTTTTGTTTCAGACAGGCCACTCAGACCTTCTGGTCAGCTAGCTGTCCCCTCACCCACTCCCAGGTGGTGTCTTACCCGGATAAGGTTTTTCTCCACGTTGTCATGGACCAGGTCAATTCCGATCCTTTTCTCCCGATTGTACAGACACTCCAGGGCCACCTATTGGAACAATGGGAAAGTGTCCTGTGGAGGCCTGAGTAGAACCTGAGTATAGGTGAGTTAGAACCTATGCCTCATCTGCTCTGTTCTGTGAGGTACCCTCGTGTGCATGGGACCTCATTTCTGTGCTTGTGTGTCAGGGCTACTGCAAGCTCATGCATTCAAATCAGGACAAGGATGTGTCCCTGGAAGCAGTATAATTGGGAGGGAGCCTGTGATGGTTCACCTTGAACTCACCTTGATAGGGCTAAGAAACTCCTAAAAACTACGTGTAGTATCATAGATTGATCGATCAATCGATAGATAGATAATAGATATAGATGATAGATAATAGGTAGATGGTAGATGATAGATAGGTAGATAATAGATAGGTAAATAGTAGGTAGATGATAGATAGATAGATAGATAGATAGATGATAGATAGATAGATAGATAGATAGATAGATAGATAGATAGATAGATGATAAATCACCTCTGGATGTGCCCATGAAAGTAATTAAAGAGGTGATTAGTTCAGGAGGATGTGGACCTTATCAGGTCAGATGTGAGGTCTAAGGGGAGGAAATAGGTCACCAGGAGTGTCATAGTTAGGGTTTTTATTGCTACAAAGAGATACCGTGACCATAGCAACTCTTATAAAGGAACACAGCAACTCTTGTAAAGGAAAACAATTGAGAGATCATCTTACCGTTTCAGAGGTTTAGTTCATTTCATCATTGCAGGGAGAATGATGGCTGGGGGTATGATAGTGTGCAGGGACATGGTGCTGGAGAGGTAGCTGAGAGTTCTACATCTTTCACAAGCAACAGGAAGTGAACTCAGACACTGGGCAGTATCTCGAACATATATGAGACCATAAAGTCCATCTCCACAGTGACACACTTCCTCCAACAAGGCCACACTTCCTAATAATGCCACTCCCTTCGGGGGCCATTTTCTTTCAAACCACTACATTCCATTCCACCCCCTGACTTCCAAAAGTTTGTAGCTATATTATAATGTAAAAATGCATTCAGTCCAACTTCATAAGTCTCCATAGTCTCTAAGTCTCACACTTATTTAAAAGTCTAAAGTTCAAAGTCTCTTCGGATATTCACCCAATCTCTTAACTATAACTTATAAAATCAAAACACAGATCACATACTTTGAACATATAATGGCACAGGATATACATTACTATTCTAAAACATAGGGCAGGGTTAGGAAATACTGGACCAAAGCAAGATCAAAAACCAGCTGGGCAAATTCCAACTCTGCATCTCCATGTCTGGTGTCAAAAGTGCTCTTCAGATCTCCAAGTCCTCTCAGCTTTGCCGACTGCAGCACACTTCTCTCTCTTGAGCTGGTTCCCCTCCCTCAGCAGGTTTCCCATGACTCTGGCATCTCTCTCACATCTTGGGGTCTCCAAGGAAATCCAGATTTCACATTCACAGCTTCATGGAATAGCCTCTCTAGGCCTTCATTATGCACACCTCTGACACATGCCTGGCCTCCAAGGCTTTTCTTAGTTGTGGAAATAAATCCCACAATCTCTTTCTTCTGTCTTTAAAGTCAGAATCACATGACCAAAGCTGCCAAGTTCTACTGCTTGCTGGAGCTGGAACATGGCCTCTTGTTAAACTATATCTTCACCAGCTTTATGTTTTTCATGGTTTCCTTCACTGCCTAAGCATGGCTGTCCTGAAGCTTGTTCTGTAGACCATGCTTTCCTCAAACTCAGAGATCCATCAGCCTCTGCCTTCCCAGTGCTGGGATTAAAGGTGTGCCTCACCACACTTGGCTCTAAACTTATCTTTAATTCCTATACACAAATTGGAAACTTAACTGGGTGGGAACTTGCCCTGAGGTCACCACTCCCTTTATTCCATTTCTTAATCTGTTTATCTCCTTGAACACAGGCCTTAGCTCCACTCCCTGATGCTTCCTTTCCCCTCAATTTTTACATTTTCTTGCTTCTTTTCATTATAAATCTGTATTAAAGTAACCTCTAATAATCACATGACTGTCAACACTAGGCCATTTTGAGATTTCCTCTGGCTTTTGCCTCAGGCAGACTCTTCGGACAAGGGAAAAAAGCAGCCAGTTTCTTCACCAAAATATCACAAAATTGATCTCTAGGACACAAATTACAATTCTTCTCCTCTAAAACTTCTAGAGCCAACTTACCACAGTTCATCAAATCACTCTAAGCATTTCTGTCTTCCATGCTCCTAGTAGGGTGGCCCATTATTAAGCAGCAGTTAAAGCATTCTACTGCTTTCCAAGCCCAAACTCCCAAAGTCCAAATTCCTCCAACAAAACATGGTCAGGCATATCACAGCAATACCCAGTCCCTGGTACCAACTTCTGTCATAGACTTTCTATTGCTGTGAAGAGACACCATAATCATGGTAACTTTGATAAGGAAAACACTAAATTGAGGTGGCAGCTTACAGTTTCAGAAGTTTAATCCATTATCATCATGGAGAGGAACATGATAGATGGGAATATGGTAGTGTACAGGCAGACATAATGCTGGAGAGGTAGCTGAGAGTTCTACATCTTTCACAGGCAACAGTATCTTGAACATATATGAGACCTCAAAGCCCGCCTCCACAATAACGCACTTCCTCCAACAAGACCACAACTACTCCAACAAGGCCACACTTCCTAATAGTGCCCCTTCTTTTGGGGACCATTTTTTTTTTAAACCACCTCAAGAAGTTTATCTCACAAGCCCTGGTCTCTTCCTGTGTTTTTTCTTTACTTCCTGTCTGTTAGGAAGTGAACAGGATCTGCCACACATTCCCACTGCCATGGTATTTGGACCAGGTACAAGGGGCCAATCAATCATGGTTAAAACCCATTGACACTGTGAGCTGTTATTGATGGGTGTTTGATCATGGGGAATACCCTTTCCTACAGTCTCTGTAAATTGTCCCTAAGCTTTCCCAAATTATGATAAAGCCAAGTTATCATTTCAGATGTGATGTATCAGCTGCTGTCCTCCCTGGGAGGCTATTCCTTTGGGTCGAATCCAGGCTTAGCCACTTCTTATTGTGTGTGCTTGGCCAAGGTGTGTATCCTCTCAGATCTCCTGTGTTGTTTCATTATCTCACCAGGCAGGGCTGTTAGCAGGGTATGTCCACAAGGGTGAATACCTCATGTAGAACTGTCTGTGAAGGATCATCTTCTCTACCAGCTCTGGGAGTGAATGCTACCATCTCCTGAGCTGGGGTCTCAGACTGAATACAAAGGAGAAGAGAGCTGAGCACCAGCATTCATTGCTCTCTGCCCCACACTCCTGCCACCGTGCCCTCCCACCATGATAAACTGCATCCTCAAACTGTGAGCCAAACAAACCCCTTCCTCAGCAAGGAATTGTATCATAGCTTGAGAATATAATTTGTCAATGGGCCCTGTGCTGCTTTGAATGAGAATGCCCCTCACACCCATAGGCTCATATATGTGCTTGCTTGGTCCCCGGTTGGTGAACTATTTAGGAGATATTAGGAAGTATGGTCTTGTTGGAATAGTCACTGGGGGTGGGTTTCAAAAGCCCATACTGGGCCAACACTTTCTCAGACTGCTGTCTGTGGATCAGGATGTAAAGCTCTCAGCTACTGCTTCTGTACCATGGCTGTCTGTCTCCCACCATGAGAGTCATGGACTACCCCTGTAAAACTGTAAGCAAGCTCCAGTTAAAGTCTTTCTTTCACAAGAGTTGCTTCGGTCATGGTGTCTCTACAGAATGGTAGGACAGTAACTAAGACAGTCCCTACAACCACCCATGTACATCTATCTTTGGTGCTGTTCAAGTAAAAGGCAAGCTACAGTAAGGGAGTGGGCCCTGCTAGACCAAGACAGTATTCCCACAGTCTGTGGCATTCTTTCCAGGTCTCTTGGGGATCTGAGCACAACAGAAGGTAGGAGAATGAGCTGTTTGCTTATGGATGTTCTTATGGGACTGAGGAACAATGGTGATCAGCCACCAGCAGGCCTGTGACATCATAAAGGCCAACAGGTCCAAGAAGGAAACAGAGTGTTCCAGGAGCAAAGGCTCCAAAGAGCTCAGAAAGGAGGGGGATACAGTACCTTGCTGCCCAGGAGCTTGAAGGCTCTTGTCTGAGCTCTGCTCAATTGAGGTACTGGAGTAGATTATGTGATTACACTGACAGTCCTTCCACAACACAGTCTGCATTCCATAGACCAAAGAGAATGCTCCTAAAGAAATCTGAGGTGGTTCCGCGGGTAAAGGCACTTACTGCCAAAGCTAGTGACCAGATTTAATCTCCAGGAACCATGTAGTGAAAGAAGAGGGGCAACCCTTGCAAGTTGTTCCTTTGACCTCTACATGTCTATCACGGTGCACATTCATGAACACACACACACACACACACACACACACACACACACACACACACACACACACACAGATAAGGGATGCAATGAAAATAAGATGACTTGATGGGTGGGGAGTACCCAGTGTTTGGTCAGTGACATGAAAGATGAAAAAGGATGGATGAATAGGAATGATAAAGAGGCTAATGCAGGTTCAGAGGCCCTGAGTCAGAGAAACTAGAAAATTGGGTTGAAGAGAGAAAGGCCATATCTTAATAAAAGTTTTGGAGGAAGGGGATTCAGGAGTTAATATGTTAAAATGGGTCTGAGGATATAGTTCCATTGGTAGAATGCTTGCTTCACAGTTTCCAAGTACAGCATAAACCTAGAATAGTGGTGAATGTCTATAATCCCAGTGCTTGAGAGGGAAAGGCAGGAAAATCAAGTTTTCAAGGTCATCCTGGGCTACATAGTAATTTTGAGGTCAGCCTAGGCTACATGAAATAGCACCTGTAGTGGTTAGAATAGTAATAGTCCCCGTAGACTCTTGTGTTTGAATGTTTGGCCCATAGGAAGTGACATAATTCAGAGATATGGCCTTGTTGGAGGATGTGTGTCACTGTGGAGGTGGGCTTTGAGGTCAGATGCTCAAGCCTAGGATCAGTGGCTGACAGGTCTTT